CCCTCATATCATTCATTATCTAGTTCATACTTAAATTTTTCTTAAAAATTTAATTGTAATATATGTATTTATATACACACATATATATTTATTGTAGAGAGAATCCACCTGAGGCTCACACTGGTTTTCGTTACTATGCCTCTGCAGTAGGAGAGGGAGATTTCATCACCTTCACTTTCGGTCCATGGTTTAATTTACTGCAGGTTTGTAACGTATCTTTTCATTAACTTTCAAGTTTGCTTCTGTACCATGATGGTCAGTGTGCGGAGTAAGTATTACTCAAAGCTTTAAAATTAAGCCACAGATGTAGTTACCACTTATTAAATGGATGTTACAATGATAGGCATTATGAAAGATACAGATAAAAGCAGAAGTACCCACATAAAGAGAAGTCAGGAAGTCAGTTTTTTATACCAAAACACACACACACACACAGGACAATTACAGAAGAAAAACAGCACAAGCATGTAAGACGGTGCAGGTGTGGGCTGGTACCCCCTCTTGGATACGGGCCACCAGTGCACTTCAGCCATTCTGCAGGGGCGCTGCGGGCAGCACTCGGCACACTTATCGAAGGCAAAGAGGGGGCAAGAGACACAGAGAAGAGCAGGGTAAAGGAGAGTGAGGCCGAAAGGAGAAGGGAGAGAAACAGAGGAGGCAGCCTGTATGGGAGTGCAGAGGGTCACCAAGGTCGCCTCAAGGATTTCAGTGGCCTCAGGACCAAAGGTCACTGATTTTTGTCACGGGTAAGTGCTGAAGGGTCCGTGGAGAACAGACTTGGTCAGGGAGGGATCCTGAAGGATTGTGAGCATCAAGCTGACTGGCTCAGGTTCAGGGATAACTTGACCTCCCTAGAGAAGCATCATGACACCACAGGGCTGTAGGGGGCAGCTTGGGTTCAAATCCTGGCTTGACCATTTCCTACCTGTGCCACATGGGTCAGTTATATAACCTCTCTGTCCCTCAGTTTCTCCATCTGCAAAATGGAGACCATATTTAACCCTTAAGTCTGATGAGAATGAAGTGAATACATGTAACTTAGGTACATGGGGAAATAAAGTACTTATATATATTAGGGATGGTTATCCTTTCCCCTGATCATGTTTGGCTAATGTTTGAGAAAACATAGCGAAAGGTATTGTTGACTTTGCCGTTGAACCCACTCACCTGAGAATGTCCCCTTGCTGAGACACTCTTTTATCCGATTGGCTTTCCTGACGTGAAAGGCTTTTGTAATTTCCTGGTTCATGAAGGCTTCCTTGTTCATGATGTTTTCCACCATCATCCTCAAGTCAAACATCTCCAGGACCTCGGCAATCTGAGCCAGGCCCACCAAATCCTTTTCCTTTTCATCCAGTTGCCCTGTATAAAGGAACTGGAGCAGGGTCCGGAAAGGGCCTGGCTGGACGGACGAGTCCATCCTGACCACGGTCACGGGGCCCACTCTCTTTGAGATGGGATTGACTTGCATTTCCCTGTGCATGCCAACGAACCCCTTACTCCAGCCCGACAGAGGCTGCGTCTCCCCGACCGGGCCCCCAGCTTCCAGCCCCGGGCTATCCTGCTGGAGCAGGTTCCAGCTTGAGAACTTGCCGTGATTGGCCTGAGGTGTCCTTGGGATGCCCTCTTCCCTTTCCTCGTCTGGGTCAGGACTCCATGCCTGCTCCTGGAAATCCCTGCTCTGCTTCTCAGTCTCACAAGCCCCTTCGATCCAATTTGGGGTTTCTTCACATTCCATTAGAAAAAGATCGTAAAACTTGGAAGAGGAGGTAGCAAGGTAAATTCGGTGCGCGAAAATCTGCTCCTGGTCCTGGAGGACGAACAGGACGTCGGCACACAGAGGATTGTCCAGTAAACAGGCAGCTTCATTCGTCCCCATGGAGGGACATTCTGGGACCTTGATGACTGGTGGAGGGGCTTTTGGAGGTAGGAACGGTGCCTGAAGCAAAGGTTTCTGAACTTTCTTTAAATGGGATTTCCAGAACTGCAGGTGCCGGCGGGCAATCAGCGCGGCTCGGATTGCGTTGTCAAACACGTCCTTGATTCCAAACTGGTCAAAGACGCTTGTTTCATAGTAGGGTATGCCGAGCTCCTTTGCCACCTCTCGGCCTTTTTCCGGGGGCAAAATATCCCCTCTCTTTATGGGCCTGAAATAAAACAGTTAAATTAGAATTGGTCTTATTTGAGGGGGAAAAAATAATGTCCAGGGCCTAGCTAAGCATCTAATTGAACTATACATTTAAAATCCTCTTTAAGCTTTTAACTGGACTCTTGAAAAATCTACCAAACTTGAGTCTTTCAAATATAAAAGACTTAATGACTGCAGAAAAAAATGCTTTCAGTAGTTACAACAATAACTTAAGTATCAGCAATTTACTAGGTATTTGATCCTGGGCAAGTTATTTAACCTCTCTCTAAGCCTCAGTTTTCCCATCTGTAAAATGGGAACGGTAACAGTGAGTATTTGTATCTTTAAGGAATATTTGTATTTTTGGGGTGGGGGTTAGGTTTATTTATTTATTGTTGTTTTTTAGTGGAGGCACTGGGGATTGAACCCAGGACCTCATGGTTCAAGCACACAACTCTACCACTGAGCTATACCTTTCCCTCTTTAAAGGACTATTGAAAGGTTTAAATGAGTCATTTGTCCAGCCTAGTACCTGTTCCACAGTAACTGCTTAATCAATGTTAGCTGTTATCCTCATTATTGTCACCACCACCATCATCGTTTTCATCATTATCACCTTATGCTTAAACTTTGCTCTATAAAATGAATCCATATTCATTTTCTCACTTGAGCCTCACAATAACCCTATGGGTGGTATTATTTTTGTTCTACAGGTCACATTTGTGAAGTGCTGAGAGATCTTTACTAAGCAGTTGGAGTCTAGAACTTCCTAGTTCTAGACTAAATGGTCCACGTCCAACAGCTCATCTCCTCTACTGGGCTAGGGAACCTTCTTTCAGATCTCACCCCTTCTCTTCATTTCCACTCTCTTCAGTTGGACCTTCATCATCCTTTGCTTGGACTAGTGCATAAGCTTCTTAGCTAATCTTTCTTCAGATTCTCCACATTTTAGCTCACTGTGGTTCTCACTGTGGCACAAAAATATCCTTACATAATACAAGTAGGACTTAGCTACAATTTTTAAAAAAAAGTTTCCTCTAGTTCCACAGAGCCTGTGAAATAAAGTCTCGGCCCTTTGTTAGGAGTTTGGGATTAACAGATACACGCTATTATACATAAAACAGATAAACAACAAGGACCTACTGTACAGCACAGGGAACTATATTCACTTTCTTGTAATAAGCTATAATGGAAAAGAATCTGAAAATATATATGTGTGTGTATATATATGTATGTATATGTGTAACTGAACTGCTTTGCTGTACACCTGAAACTAACATTGTAAATCAACTACACTTTAGTAAAAAAAAAGTAAAAAAAGAGAAGGATAAAGTCTAGGCCCTTTTGGCTGCCACACGAGGCACATTCACAGTCTAATCTCACCCAGGGAGGCCAAACCTTTGGAAGGAGGATCCACAGAGTAGTGCTGGGGTTATAGCAGAACCACAGCTGTGCAGGCTATACTTTTTTTTTTTATTGAGGGATATTCAGTTTACAATGTTGTGTCAATTTCTGGTGTACAGCACAATGCTTCAGTCATACAGGAACATACATATATTCGTTTTCATATTCTTTTTCACCATAAGCTACTACAAAATATCGAATGTAGTTCCCTGTGCTATACAGTATAAACTTATTTATCTATTTTATATATACCTGTCAGTATATGCAAATCTCAAACTCCTGTTTTATCCCTTCCCACCCCTCTCCCCCCGCTGGTAACCATAAGTTTTCTATGTCTGTGAGTCTGTTTCTGTTTCATATATAAGTTCATTAGTCGCTCTCTTTTTTTTTTTTAAGATTCCACATATGAGTGATATCATACAGTATTTTTCTTTCTTTCTGGCTTACTTCACTTAGAATGACATTCTCCAGGGCCATCCATGTTGCTGCAGGTGACAGTATTTTATCATTTTTTATGGCTGAGTAGTATTCCATTGTATAAATACATCACAACTTCTTTATCCAGTCATCTGTTGATGGACATTTAGGTTGCTTCCATGTCTTGGCTGTTGTTAACAGTGCTGCTGTGAACATTGTGGTGCAGGTGTCTTTTTGAATTAAAGTTCCCTCTGGATATATGCTCAGAGGTTGGATTGAAGAAAATGAGAAGATTAAAAGCACTTGGATATGTGTATCTGTATGAACCTCATGCTCCTTGGGCCAAGAATTGTGGCTGAGTGCTCTGAATATTAGTTAACTTCATTATAGTAATTTCAAGAAAGACATTATTATGAGTAGCTAACTTTTAGTTTACTACTTTACAAATTTCCAAGCACTTTTATACATATCATGTCAAAATTAGAGAATTCCCTTTAAGCATTGGCCAAATAATGGGTTCCTGCCTGAGAGGTGCTGGTGAGCATGAGAAGAGCCAGGACATACCCCCTCGTGATTCACAAGCTAACTGAAAGCATACGGCTGGTGGATGGGGTCCCAGGGCCACCGAAGAGACATCAAGAGACACCCAAGGCTACAGAGACATCTCCTCTATCTCTAAATTTTAATTTGGCAGGCACAGTGAAACTGAGTCTCTTGGCTTACCTTGCTAAAGGGCGTCTGGCTCTATTAACGGCTTCAAGATCAGCATAGCGGAGATCTAGCTGGCAGCCAACTAGAACAACAGGTGTGCGAGGGCAGAAGTGCTTGATTTCTTGATACCACATGGTTTTCACATGATTTAGGGAATTAGGATTAGCAATGGAAAAACAGAGGACCACCACATCGGACCTAAAAGGAAATCACAAAAGACGCTGTATTGCCTTTTAGCTTTTCTTTTTCTTTTATCACTATAGTTCCTCCCTTCCCCACATCCATCTAATGCCATATCATGTCACAATTTAAAAAAATGACCGGATATTAAAATATATCTCGGAGTCATGCAAACAGCCTGATAAGCCCCCACATTCCAGCACCAACACAGCCTGAGTTCATTTCCATCTTGCATGGCAGAATGCCTCTGCATTGAAAAGTTTCCAATGAAGTTATTTTATGTTCTAGATGGTTACCCACACTGGACTCATTCCTGGAACCACCACATGCTGAACTATTTCTGTTCATCACCAGAAATAGTTTCAAGATAAAAAGAAAATAATAAAGAAACTACCATTTTCCAGTTTCAACATAAAGATGATGATGACTCAATGAGATAAAGCAAACAGTTTAAACATGACTGAAAATGTAACGGGTATTTGCTGTACAGGGTTGGCAAATACACAGAAGGATTTCTGCCCTTCTTTTCACTTAAGCGCAAATGTAGAGAGCACAACCACTTATCTGTTCCTGAAAAGAAAAATTTCTGAATTTGCAGGAATTTTGACTCTTTACTAGGTAGAAGGCAAGAAGGTATTATTTAACATAAAGCTAGCAAGAGTTAGATGGATGGCTAGTAAGATGAGAAAATGCTGGAAGCAGATTTCTCAAATGTTACATATGACACAGAGCAGGGTATATGGGGAAAAGAAAAATTGTTTTATAGTCATTTTTGACATCAGGATCTTCCATTTTCTATATAGTAACTTACCATTCTAGAAGCCAGAGAACTGTTTTACATAACAGTTGTTCAGTTGTGGTGTTTGACAGCTGCTAAAAGGTGTCTTTAATAATTATGAATCATTTTTCTAGGTTAAAATATGCAGAATCATGACTTTGAAAACACAGAGGCAGAAGACTATAAAGAATAGAAAAAGTTATGCCCAAGGATGCAAGACTATCTTGCAGCTACATTCAGAAATAAACTTATAATTTTATTCGATGTTAATTTATTGCCTTTATTGTATATGTAATGAGAAGAATCAAGTCGATGAATCAAAACACCTTCTTTTTAAATCTTTAATGAGCTTTTCTCCCTACATATCATTGAAGACAAACAAATATATCCAGGCAACCATAAAATTTCTAAAAATATTCACTTGCAATGCAGCAAACTGCAGGGTGCTTACATTAAATGTAACTCACAAGTTGAGTCTTTAAATTTATATCCAAAGAAAAACTGCGCCAGGCCACAACAAATAAAGGGGAAAATCTTGACATTAAAATACTTACAAATTATAAAAGAGGACCTAAGACTCAAAGCACATGAGTGTATCCATCTGCATGTTTAGAATGCCCTTGGAATAAAGATATTATCAAAGATTCTTGAGCACTGGAAAATATAATGTGTGTAAAATATGCATTACTATCGAAATGAAAGGGAAGCATGTCTTGTCTTTGGGATTCTGATTTAGTTAGTGGAATATTCTGTGCACAGTCTTACTTCTAATTAGCATAAATAACAGTATCCAGTAAAGTCAAGAATGCTTTGAATTTTACATTTTTTTAGGAGTTGAGCTTTCTGTTATTCATAATCCTATTTATATAGGATATCTGGTGCAGCTCTGCAATAAGCTTTGTCCCAATCATAAAATAAAGCTGCCAAGAATTCTGGCACAGTAAGAGTAATATGGCAATATCTGAGGTTCAAAATCATAGAGAAAGAATTGAGGAAACGCATCTTGCACCTAAATGTGGAATAGCATGTATATGTACAAAATTGTTCTAACTGGTGCCTTTATTTTCATGTTAAGGCACATGGCTATAAAGGAAGTCATTCTTGGAGCTTAATTTATATGACAGACATGTAGCTAAATGTCAATTCTGTTATCTAATTTTATGATGCAGCATCTGAGGTTTTGAAATCAGAGCTAGCTCGGTTGCCAAGGTTACCGTGATAACACTCATACCACTGAACATACACTAGTTGCTATCCAGATGACCTGTAAACAAGTACAGACAGGACCTTGGGGGTTGGAATAAATGGAATCTCCTTATGATAGCAGCACACTGCCATTGCACAATACAGGTCCGGAGGGCCCAACTTCTAACTATGTTGCATCAATATCTCAGGTGCATGAAATGCTGTTGGAAAAGCTAGAAAAAGAATTCAATGCTCTATAAATATTTGGCCTGAAAAGGATGAGAGTTAAAGAGAAGAGGGTATACTGAGAGCCATACTTACTGAGTCAAAATTCTATTTGCATTCTTGGACTGGAGTTATCCTTTTTCCTTTTTTCAAACACAAATTTAGAGGCTGTGAGAATCTGTCCCCATTATTTTACATTGAAAGCAGTTAAAAAATTAGATCCTATTTAATCTGCCAACTGCTTAAATGTCTTTAACCCTCGTTGATTTAAATACAAATGCAAGTTAAGAAACACCACATACAGATTATACAGAATCCTAGTCTTTAGGCCTATCATACAAGTGTAGTATCTTACACCTGATTTTAAACAAAAGCCTGTGAATCAGTGGACGAAGTGATGGGGCTATAGAAAGATGTGGCTTTGATACACCTCTCCTTAAACCAACCTGCTTTTCTAACTCCTGATTCCTAACACATCAGTATCCTCTGTGATATAAACACCTACATGATCCAGTAACTATTTTCAGAATGCCATTTATTCCCTCTAGATGTTGAGCCAGTTTTCTATCTAGTCAAAGGAGGCACAAGACCTGCAGCTAAGAATATCCCAGCTTTAGGCACAATTCCAAGGAACCAGAGATATTAAATAACTTTTAATCAAAACATTCATTCCTGCGTGGAGACTGTTCAGTGTCTGACACAAGTTCATGTTTTAAAATGCCATTCCTACGAAAGATAAAAAGAAAAAGGCAAGTTCCAGCATTTCTACTTCTATGGCTCTGTGACATTTTTTTCCTTTGAAGAGTTGAGTTTAAAAATAATTGGGAGGGGGAGGTGTGATGAGGACATTCTCACATATTAGGCAGCAGGGTTAGCCCAGAAATGACCTCAGAGTTCCTATTTCAGCTGTAAAAAGGATCTGATAGGATTTAAATGGAGTCCTACAGCTATTTGGAGTAGAAAACACAAGAGTTTGTGAATGCAGAGGCAAAGCATGTAGTAGACAAAACTCTATTAAACTCCAGAACTTGAATACTGAGGAGGGTAGGAAGGGATGTGGTAATTTTTTTTTTTTTTTGGATTGGGTTAAGTGTCTTTATTAAGGAAAACCAGGATTACAAAGGATTTAAGAACGTGTGGTCTCAGTTGCTTGCCTGTGACTGTTTATTTTTTGGAGAAAAATATGGTCTATTTGTTCCTAAGGGGAAAATATCAATATAAAAATGTCACTAGGATACTAACACATCAAATGATGCCCATGAAATAATTTGTTGATTAGTTAAGTTAAAAACAACCCAAAGTAAATCTACTTTGAAACAACTGTGAATCTCCAGTTTCAGGGAGGGGCGAGAGGTGGGGAAGGGATGAGAGACTGAGTCATCCAAAAATTCTTGAGCTGATAGGGCTGACCTCAGTTGTATCAGTTTTTCTTCAGATGTTAAACAAACAAAAAAACGCATATTTTTTCAGCTATCTTTTAAGGAGAGCACTGGCCAAGGATAGCATATGAAAGACTGGCAGTGATACTTGGATAACATGAGGAGTGCATGCAGAGTTGGGACTAATCTTTGCTGGGGGATTAAAGAAAAAAAAAATCTGAAAAAAGTCCACCTTACCCACATATCTTGGCCCAAGAAAAACTTTTTAAAAAAAACTTTATTATACTCTTGATTGGATATTGCTTTATTATACTCTTGATTGGATATTGCTATGGACATAGAGTCAAAATTTTTATGGGAAGCCCCTTAAAAATAGATTGCAATTAAACACGTAGCAGATTTTCCTTTTAAGGTAATAAATTGTGTATGTATGTATGTGTGTGTGTGTGTGTATATATATATATATGTATTTTTTTTCAAGCTAGACTTTACATATCAAATGCCACACGTTCTCATGGCCTGCATTTATATCTGTAGTCAAATACAGCACACTTGGTGGGAAAAGAGCAGGGAAGCAAACAGTAGCTAAATTCATCCTTTGAAGAACTAGTTGAGAAAGGAGAGATAATCAATATCAAAAATTAGTGTTAGGAATGAATGTTCTACTTTCTTTCCTATCACAAAAGTATTTTCCATCTCCTTAGTTTGTCTTCCCTTTTGGAGTTCCCTCTGTTTTGCTACCACTGTCCAGCTAGGGAGCTGTGGGCCTTGGGTTTTCTTAACCGCTGAAGTGAAAAAATAATTCCTAAACGATCCTTTGTCCTAGAGCTGAAGATCAGGCCAATTTGATGGGCAGTGTGAAGGTCAGTGGACTCTTTCCAGTCCTGCAGGCAGCTGTGAGTGGGAAAGCGGGTGCCCTTCTCTGGTGTGCTGATTCTGGTTGGGTCTCTTGCTGCTGAACACTTGGTGACCCAGGGTGTGCTCACAATTGTATTTACCTGAATCCTGCTTGGAAGTATCTCCTTTTTAAGAGATACTTCTAAGCCTTTTCCTGTGCAGTAGGATCCCACTTCTTTATGTCACTACTGCCTATTATTATTATTATTTTTAGTAGAGACTCCCCTGTCCTCTATATTGGTCAAGATCCTGATCACATTTCAGTGGGCTTCTTTGTTAATGTACATAAGTCCTGTTCTGGCAAAGATTCAAGTAAGAGTCTCCCCCCCCATAACCAAGGAAAGCTCTTTACAGAGACATTTTCAAAACCATTTATGTCAACAAAACACCCTTCATGCATACAGTCTGACAGCGCTTTGCAAACAGACAGGTCGAAACAGCACAAAACAGCTGAAAGCATGGCAGAGAGAAGGAATGTGTAACATGTGGCTTTGGAAAGTTTTAGTAGGGGAGCAGCCCGGTGTGTATGAGATGTGGAGGGAGTTGTCAGTGATGGTGAACATAACCACCTGGAGATGAATGGCTGTGTAAGCTCATACTCATGGAAAATGGAGAGGCCTGTAGGGGAGCGCCTGGTAGGGGGTCTGGGGAGAGAGCAGGGCAGTACCATGCAGTGCCCTGGGTGTGAGCAGAGAAATCAAGTCAATACTTTACCAATAGCAGTGAGGCTTCTTAAGTACAGATGTTATGTGGGGAAAACTGTGAAAACACCCTGAAATATATCCAGATTTGGGAGTGATTAGCATGCGCAACTATTTCTTCTAAGTCTGTAACTGTATGTTTAGTTTAGTAGGAAGCAAAATTTTAAACCAGTCTTCCCCCACCCTCCAAAAATGGGGCCAAAGCAGTGCACGCTCTTAAGTGCAGGAAAGCCATATCAACACCCCACCCATGCCACCAAATCCTAAGATAGATAATACTCAAGTCTTAGAAATGGTTGACTCTGTTATCATGGTACAAATATCACAAAAGGCAATGACCTGACCACAGAGAAGGTTGTGGGTATCATCTAATGGAAACCAGCTATTTTTTACTTTATATCCCATTTTTCTACCTATGCTCTCTTCACGGTATAGATCTTCTGACTTATGATGGACTTATGTCCTAATAAGCCCATCAGAAATTGAAAATATCATAAATAGAAAATCATTTAATACACATAACCTATCAAACATCATAGCTTAGTCTAGACTACCTTAAATGTGCTCAGAACATGTACATTAGCCTACACTGGGGCAAAATCACCTAACACAAAGCCTATTTTATAATAAAGTACTGACTATCTTATGTAATTTAGTAAATACTGCACCAAACGTGAAAAGCAGAATGGTTGTGTGGGTACAGAATGGTTTTAAGTGTATTGGTTGTCACCCTGGTGATCACGTGGCTGACTGGGAGCTGGGGCTCCCTGGCGCTGTCCAGTATCACTAGAGAGTATCGTACCAGGTATTGCTGGCCCAGGAAAAGATCAAAATTCAAAAC